GGAGGAGGAGGAGGAGGAGGAGGAGGAGAGCTCGGGGCCGCTGGACTGGACGCGCAGCAGGCCCTCGCGCTGCTGCGAGCCAGGACGAGCTCTGACTACACCTTCCTTGCGCGCACCTGCGGCATCCCGACGACAGAAGCCCGCGCCCCGGACGCGGCGCTCCTGGCGGAGGTGCAGCACGTGCGCGGCTGGCCGCTGGAGGGCCTGAGCGGGAGGAAGCTCTGCCTCGCGGGAAAGGACGGCGGACTGGGGCTGCAGAGCGTCGAGCTCACGGCGGCGGCGGCCCAGGCGGCGTCGCGGCACCTCTGCCTCCCGCGCTGCCTGCGCAGATTTGGGCTGGACGGGGCGGGCGCGCTGGCCAGCGTGAGCCCCTGGGCGCGGAGGTGCCTCCCGGAGGCGACGCGGGTCCTCCAGGCTGCTCTCCAGGACGAGACCGCCCACGTGGGCGACGAGGGGCTCGCAGCCCCGCAGCACACTCTGGCTTCGGCCCCCCTTGCTGCGGCTGCGCGCGCCGTCGCCGACGTGGCGAGCTACGACCCTTTGGCAGCGGCGGCCCTGCACAGCGCAGGCGGCCCCGGGGCGAGCGCCTGGCTGGGCCCGCCTTCCCGGCCCGAGCACCGCCTCTCAGACGCGCAGTTCGGCGTCGCGCTGGGCGCGCGCCTCGGCGAGGACCAGCCCTGCTGCACGGGAGTGTGTCAGCACAGGCACCCCGACGGGAGCGTGTGCGGAGCTGTGCTGGGCCCGACGGGGCAGCATGCGCGGTCCTGCGCGGTGGGCGGGTGGCTCGTCCGCCGCCACGACGCCGGCTGCGCCGTGCTGGCGGCCTGGTGTGAGGAAATAGGCTGCACGGTGCACCAGGAGATGGTGTTGCCGCACGCCGCAGCCAGCCGGCCAGAGGCCCGAATGGACCTGATAATCCACGCTCCCCGGGTAGCTGTCCCCATGCGGGTGGACCTCACCGTGGTCAGCGCGCTGTCCCAAAACGCGCTGGAGCGCGGGTCAGCCCGGCGCGCCGGCGCCGCGGCCGCGGCGGCCGAGAACGACGAGCGTGCGCGCTACCCTGGGCTGAGGATGGTCCCCTTCGCCGTCGAGGACCACGGCAGGCTCGGGGAGGACGCCCTGGCCCTGGTGCGCCTGCTGGCCCCGCCGCCCGATGACGACGGGCGGTCGGCGGCCATCCGCCGGCTGCACCAGGCGCTGGGCAGCGTCTTGCAGCGCCACGCTGCGGACGCCGTCCTTGCTGCCACGCAGCACAGGGCTTGGCGAGGGCCCCGGGCTGGGCGCTGAGCGCGCCGGGCCAGGCGAGGGCGCGGCGCGGCGACCGCGGGAAGGCTCTGCTCGCCTGCTGGCGGCGCTGGGGCTGGGGCGCTGCTGGGCGGGGCGCAGGCGGCGGGGCGGGCCGCGGCCGGCGGCGCCTGGCCGCCCGGGCCGCGGGCGGCGGCAGGCGGGCGCGGTGCTGAGGCGAGGAGGAGGAGGGGGCGGCTGCGCGGGGCGACTGGCTGGCGGCGCCGCGCGGGCCAGCCCGTCGGGAAGCTGGCCTACTTTGTCCTCGCGGGGCTCGCCGAGCTCCCGTGTATCGGGTGGTAGAGGCCCCGGCCGGCAGACCCCTCCCCCCTGGGAGTGGCCGCTGTCTCAGACAGCCGGCCACCCCCGGGGGAGCCGTCCCCGGCTACGGAGGAGTCGGCCGGCTCCCGACCAAAGAGCGCCGGCCGCGCGGGGAAGACTCGCGGCCGCCTGCTGGAGGAGGAGGAGGAGGAGGAGGAGGAGGAGGAGGAGAAGGAGAGGAGGAGGAGGAGGAGGAGGAGGAGGAGGAGGAGGAGGAGGAGGAGGAGGAGGAGGAGGAGGAGGAGGAGGGGGAGGAGGAGGAGGAGGGGAGGAGGAGGAGGAGGAGGAGGAGGAGGAGGAGGAGGAGGGGGAGCAGGAGGAGGAGGAGGAGCAGGAGGAGGAGGAGGAGGAGCGAGGGGTGACGTAACAAGCTCTCAACGCCAAGCCTCCCAGCACGATCGGTGGTGTGAGTAACTTCGGTTCATGTGTTTGAGGCGCTCTTTCCGTTTCCGTGCCGGCCCAGGTCTAATTGCCCTCCCGCCTCGTTTTTTATCCAGTAGGACGGCCTTCCGGGCTTAAAAACAGCGTTTCGTTCGAGACGTCATAGGAAAACGCTCCTTGGGCGCTTCCTTGGGCCGTCTTAGGCGCCTGAGACAGCCCAAGACGCGGCCAAGACGGCGCCCAAGACGGCCCAAAACGGCCCAAGAAGCGCCCAAGACGGCCCAAGAGCGCTCCAAGAGAGCCCAAGAACGCCCAAGGCGGCCCCAAGACGTCCCAAGAGGCCTCCACGACGCCCCAGGAAGCGCCCACGAGGCGTCCCAAGAGGGCCCCAAGAGGCCACAATCATTGATTTTCTGAAGGAAAACGTTCGTTTCTAGCATATACGGCTTTCCGCCTTTCATGGCGTTGAAGACGGTCCGAGAGGCCCCGAATACCGCCCCAAGACGGCCCAAGATGTTCCCAAGAGGCCCCCAAAATAGCCCAAGAGGGCGCCAAGACGGGCCAAGAGGCGTCCAAGACTGTCCCAGAGGCCCCCAAGAACGCCCCAAGAAGGCCCAAGAGGCCCCCAAGAAGGCCCCAAAACGGCCCAAGAGGGCGCCAAGACGGCCCAAGAGGCGCCAAGACGGCCCAAGACGGCGCCAGGACGGCCCCAAGAAGGCCCCAAAAGGCCCCCAAGAGAGCCCAAAGACGGCCAAAGGCAGCCTAGTCCCTTCACCCCCGCAGCCCAGAAGCTCCCAGGAGGCCCCAAGAGGCCCCCGAAGGGTCCCCAAGAAGCACCTGGCTCCCCAAGAGCCCCCCAAGAGGCACAAAATACCCCCAAAGGCTCTTAGCACCGCGGTTCCCAAGAGCGAGCGGTGACGTAATCGAGCTGATCAGACCAAAGCTCCCAAAAGAGAGCTGCAGCGTAATATGTTCTTGACGCCAGGGCACAGGGACGGGCGGCAACGCGTGGACAACGAGCGGTCCACGCAAGGAAAACGCGGGGTGCTGGAAAGCTGGCAGCCCAAACGCGGAAAACGCAACGCGACCCGACCGCCCCCTCCAAAACAAGAAACGCGCTCAAAGAAAGCTCCGCGACTCTCCGAGGCTGAGATAGGGCAAGAGCGAGGGGAAGGGAGTCAATAAGAGGTGTAAGAGCGGACGAGCCAGCGATCTCGTGCGCTTTGGAAGTAAGTGCGCTTTCCGTCCCCGTGCCAAGCAGGTCGAATGGCCTTCGGCCCATTCCGCCACCGTGCTGGGGTTGTGGGTATGAAGCCTATTGGATGTTCGTTGAAATCTCGGGAGGGGCCTCTCGGGGACCTCTTGGACGGAGTTGTGGAGTCTCATGGGGGCCACTTTCTGGCCTCTTGGGGCTTAATGATCCAGACCAGGTTGCCGCCACCCTTCCAGCGCATATGCAAAGGGCCCTTCTGTAAAAGCTGCAATCCCGCCCGGCCCAAAAAACGGAATACGCCCCCCGTTTTCAGAGCGAAGTTTAAGGGAGCTCAAAACCACGTTCGTTTAAATTCACACGCCAGGTCGGCGGAGTGTACAGCATCACCTATGCACGGCTTTTCAGCAAACGTACATCATATCATCACAGACCGTACAAAGATATAATCAGACGCGACGTGCGCGCCGAGGTCAGATTGGCCACAAGAGCAAGCAAGCGCAGCAACGAGCGATTGGACAACGTATCTAACGTGACAGGCGTCGCGACGTCACGTCGGCCCGTCGAGAATTCAACATCACATACTACAGTATAGCATATAACAGTTGAATCAGCGACAGATTAATGGCGCCGTGTTAAAAGCAGCGTCCACGCGGACGTAAGGCTGCCCACAGAACAATGATCGGCGCAGCTGACACCGAAGCGATGGCATATCAAACGTGACAGGAGGAGGAGGCGGAGGAGGAGGGAGGAGGAGCAGGAGGAGGAGGAGGAGGAGAAGTCACGGGCGTCAGAGCAACGACCGATCAGGCGAGATAGCAACGATCTGGCACGGCCGCCGCGCTGGCCGAGCTCACCAGGCCTTGCGCGCATCGCTCCTCGCGGCGCGCACAACGCCGGGCACTACCGCCGACGGTGTCGGTGGAGCTCGCTCGAAGCATTTGTGTTGTTTTAAGCCGCTCCTCCTGCGCATCATCATCATCATCCTCATCCTCCTCTTTTCTCCTCCGTCCTCCTCCGTCCTCCTCCTCCTCCTCCTCTTCCTCCGTCCTCCTCCTCCTCCGTCGGCGTTGGTCGGCGAACATATCCGTGGCCGAAGCTGGCCGTGGCCAAATAGGTATTCTCGTCCGAGGCTGCGGCTCTTGTCTGACGTTCTCTCTATGGCAGCACGATGGCTGTCCGTGCGATGAGCGCAGGGTGTGGAGAGCCAAGCGGGAGACTTGGGAAACGACCCCAGCCCCAACAGCAATGGATTTTGAATGTCAACGTTTTACAACTATGGCGAATGTGCGTAGGTGTAGTGCGCCCAGCCCGTAGGCGAGGCCATCGCCAGCTGCCGCAGGGAGGGGCGCGCGCGCGGTCTAGTTGGTCTCAAGTTCCTCATGTGGGGGGCGGGGGGCGGTTTTCGTGCGTTCACAAACGGGAGACTGATAAATTGGGAGTCTTGGGCACTCACCCGGCCCCAGCAGCCTCCCAGCCCGAAAGACGATGTTTCGTGTGGCTCCCGCGCTGACAGGCGAGATCCAAATTCGTCACAGTGGAGCTTCGGGAATCTCTCCGGGGTCCCCAAACGGGGTGGTGACCACACCGTGTGGTGAGCTGGTGGGGGTTAGGGGTCACCGCACGGTTTTGAGACCCGGGTCGTTCTCCGAGGACGTCTCGGGCGACGGGGGCATCCGAGGTCCCAAAACCGTGCGTTAACGGACCGTGCGCCGAGGTCTTGGAGGATGTCGAGGTCACCGCACGGTCTGTCACCGCACCGCTTCGGGACTCCAGAAGACCTCCCCACACCCGCCGCTGCAGCATGACGCTGACGCTGGGGCTCGAGAACATCAGCCTGGCCCTGCAGGCCCGCCCCGCCTGCGGGCGCCCCCCCGCGCGCGCCTGCTCGGGCGCCGCCGCTCGCCCGCAGCTCGCCCCCGCCCCCCTCCCCCGCCCCCTCCCTGCTCTTCATTCTTTTCTGCTCCTCTCTACGGCTCTCTCCTGGTGGTCGTCGTCCTCCTCCTTCCTCGCGTCCTCCTCCTCCTCCTCCTCCTCCTCCTCCTCCTCCTCCTCATCACCCCCTCCCTACAAACGCCTGGAATCTCAACTGAAAGCATAGAACCACCCCCCATCCATACGCGGAGGAGCGGGACGGCGAGGAGCAACGAGAGGAGGAGGAGGAGGAGGAGGAGGAGAAGAAGAACAACAACAAACACTTCATGGGGTAGGTTTTCGAAGGTGATATGACCTCGCGAGGAAGAGAAAGAGGTGGAGAGGAGGAGGAGGAGGAGAAGGAGGAGGAGGAGGAGGAGGAGAGAAGGAGGGGAGGAGGAGGAGGAGGAGGAGGAGGAGGAGAAGCAGGAGAGCTACTCGGTTTCTGCCTTCGGGGTTTCAGCCGTGCCACATAGTGCATTCCTGCAGCTCCTCCACCTTCCCCCCTGCTCGTCATCCTTCCGTTTCCTCCTCCCCACCCTCCGCCTCCCAATCCCGTTCATCCTCTTCGTCCTGCTCTTCCTTGCGCCCTGACGCCTGTCCATCCCGGCCAGCGTTACTCAGCGCCGCTGTGTTCGTCGACCGTTGCACCCTCAAGCGGCAGTGCGGGCGCATCGCAGGCGTGCCATTGGTGCGGGTACGCTTCTACGCCACCCAGGGCATAGGCACCGACACCACACCGAGCGTCGCTAGAAGTCACGCGATCGTGGCGGAACTCATTGCTCCACTTGCAACTGATCCACCTCATATCCCCTCTCCTCATGCTTCTCCTCCACTTCTCCGCCACCCCCATAATGTCCCACCGTTTCTCGTCATCCCATTGTTCATACCATGATTATGGGATACAATATGTACGCGGGGTCTGGGCGATGCGACGCCTCACCCCGTCTACTGCTTGCGCGGGTCGAGAGATTTGAGAATGGCAGAGGGAGAGGATAATGAACATGAGCAGGAGGAAGACGATGAGGCGGAGGAGGAGGAGGAGGAGGAGGAGAAATTGTTCCTTTTGTTGATGGTCCTGCTTCCCCCTTACTCCTGCTCCTTCTCCTCTTTCATGTCCCTTCTCCTCACCCTCCTCATCATCCTAGCTCTTCTGCTGATGCTGCCGCTCCTCATTCCTTTTTCTCCACGCCGATCCTCCTCCCCCACCCTGGGCCGCAACGCGGCGCCTCCTCCGACCCGCGCTCCCCGCGCCATCGTAGCAACACCTGCCATTTCTGGCGCCCCAGGTGATGGCCACAGCGTCGCGGCCGAGACTGGACAAACTCTACGCCGACCAGTTGCAGCGGCCCGAGTGCCTGGCGACTTGTACGAGGCACTGCCTCTCTGAGGGCAGCCGGCAGTCCGCTTCCCCCACGCGCCCTCCCAGCGTGCCCTCCCCAGCGCCCTCCAAGTGCGCCCTCCCAGCGCGCCCTCCCAGCGCGCCCTGCCAGCGCGCCATCCCAGCGCACCCTCCCAGCGTGCCCTCCAGGCGCGCCCTCCGGCGTCGCCGGCTCTATTATGGCCACGCCCGCAGGCATCATGTAAGACCGTTCGGTTCCCCTCGACCCCCATGTTGGGCCCGCCCTCACCCCTCACCCTCGGCAGTCGGTGCCCTCCCCCAAACCGCCGCAGTTTGCGTTTTGATCAGGGTCCGTGGGTACGCTGGGAGGGCGCGCTGGGAGGGCGCGCTGTGAGGGCGCGCTGGGGAGGGCACGCTGGGAGGGCGCGTTGGGGAAGCGGACTGCCTGACGAAACGCCTGTTCATAGCTCCGCTCCCCACTTCCCTACACATCTCCCTCCTGCCCCCCCTGCCAGGATGGCGCGCTGGGGAGGCGAACTGTCTGAAGATCGCCTTTTCGTAGCTCGGCTTTCCACTTGCCACTTTCCTTCCTTTCCTGCCTTTCCCTCCTCACGTTTCTCAGCAACTGCGAGGTTCTATATAATTTTGTCTGCGCGATGTGTTCCTCCAGATTCACGCGCTTGTTTTGTCCATTTGGGAGACTACCTGGGGGAGCTGGTCCACCCAGGAGGTCTACTGATAGGGGGTCTCCGAGGGTTGAGGTCCACAGAGGCGTTGCGCGGAGGGAGCTGCAGAGGGATGTAGGCGAGAACGGAGCCCTGGAACTTTCTTCTCAGCCAATTCGGCGTATCATCTCGTCTGCCCGCCGCCAGGGCCAGGTATAGAGTCTTCCCGACACTCGAAAAGGCCAAGTTCCAACCAATCTGGTGGACTTGAATCCACGACGCTGCCCACTTGGCGGCCGCACAGGCTCAGGCGCCGAACGGGCTCAGAAGGTAACCCCGGAAACGTAGGGAGTACGAGGAAGTAGGGCGAGTTCCATCGAGTTGGGGTACTCTGTGCCCGCAGTCTGCGAAGCAGTGTGCCACATGTGTCACGACCGAGGTGCGAGTGATGGATTCTCCAGGGCAGCAGGAGCGATAGTACATCACATCGAGAATCAAACAACACCTACCCCGAATAGCACAATGCATGTGCAGCCTAATGTCAGTCCCCGTCTTTGAACTAGGGATAACCAATCTGGGTGGTTAGGTTTCGATACTTCTGCTGAAAAGACCCCATGTCCTTGATGTCTGTGTCCTCTTCACTTGGCTCCGCTCCCGAAGGGCTTAGGGGGTCCCTACTATCTACTCAGCCCGGGTCGTGCCTGGACCTCAGGAGTCACATGGCTTGCGTTCGAGCGTCACGCACTGGGACTCCAGCAGCGCGCCGCTGCCTTCCGAGTCCTCATGACTCATCAGCACACCATGCATTGCACAGGGGGTGTCACCTTACCACTTCGTAAGGCATGTGATTGGTTGTCCAGCGTCTCGCCCAGAGGCTTGTATTCCCAATTCGCGATCAACCTCTTGAGTTGGGTCAAGGCCGTACTGAATGGAGGGACCTGTTTCGTTCTACATCACGTTCATCTCGGTTTACAACTCTTCCGTACATCTCAGCGCTTTTTCTGACAAACCATGTTGGCGATTCGTTGTCAAAAGATCGTCAATCTTGGGAGCCCCTGCGAAGTATTGGAGATAGTCCCACTGCATTCTTACAGTTGCCAGATCATGCTGGCTGGTAGCCAGGGACAGCAGGGACAGCTGGGTCAGCCAATTCGCACCGCAGAACTTCTCAATCGTGTCCTTACAGGTCCGGTTCTCCTCCACACGACTGGGAGGGGACCTCCCGCACGTCGCGCATGAGTTTGTCGTTCGAAGGGTTCGGCGAGAACGCCCACCCATCTACCACTCCGCGCTGGGGTCGGCGGGCCACGAAGCCACCGGGCCACGGCCCATCTGCTACGTCATCAGTGAAGTGTCATCCCTCCCAGTATCCTGAAAACTCCGAGGGAGGTTAGACCCTGGGGATTTAGATCCTAAGGTTTTTTATATGAGGACGCTGATGATGAATCATCGAATCATCATCGCATTTCCATTGCCGCCGACCCATCCATTCGTCCACCAATCCACTCACTGATCCACCCGCCATCCATCGAAATTGCTATTCTGAAGCCGCTCTGGGGCCGTCTTGAAGCCGTCTTGGGGCGGTCTTGGGCCATGTGCGAGCCGTCTTGGGCCTATCTTTGGACGTCTTGGAGCCTTCGTGGGCCGATGAGGAAGAGAAGGAGAAAGCAGAGAGGATGAGGAGAAGCATGACGAAGGGGATGATGATGACGAGGAGGCGGAGGCGGAGAAGCTAATAGGATAAGAGAAGAGGCTCATAAGAAGATGCTGAGGAGGAGGAGGATGAAGGAGAAGAAGGAGGAGGAGGAGGAGAAAGAGCACGATGCCGATGAGGAAGAGGAGGAGAGGAGGACAGCAGGGAGGAGAAGGATGACGAAGATAATAAGGATGAGGAGACGGATGAGTTAAGAGGATAGGAGAAGAGGAACAGGAGAGGAGAAGGCGAGGAGGAGAAGGAGGAGGAGAAGAGGCGGAGGAGGCAGGACAGTGAGGCAGGGGCCACATGCGAACCATAGGGGCGGCCAGGGGCGAAAACGGCCAGGAGCGGCCAGGGGAAACCAGGGGAGGCCAGGGCCAGCCAGCCAGGGGCGAAAAACGGCCAGGGGTCGAGCGGCCGCCGCTTGCCCACGGTGCGAGCAGGAAAGCGCGGCGCGTCGGAGGTCTGGGAAGGAGGAGGAGGAGGAGGAGCAGGAGCAGGAGGAGGAAGGAGGAGGAGGGAGGAGGGAGGAGGGAGGAGGGAGGAGGGGGAGGGGGAGGAGAGGAGGAGGAGGAGGGAGGAGGAGGAGGGAGGAGGAGGAGGAGGAGGAGGAGGAGGAGGAGGAGGAGGAGGAGGAGGAGGAGGAGGAGGGAGGAGGAGGGAGGAGGAGGGAGGAGGAGCAGGAGCAGGAGGAGGAGGAGGAGGAGGGGGAGGAGGAGAAAGAGCAGGGGTGGAGGACAGCAGGGAGGATGAGGCGAAGCATGAGGAGAAAGAGGAGGAGGAGGAGAACGAGCATGAGGAGGAAGAGGAGAAGGGGGGGGAGAAGGAACCAGAGCCGACACGCCAAATCCATGAGATGGGGAGGCGGAGGAATAAGGAGGGAGGAGGAGGGAGGCGGAGCAGGAGGAGGAGGGGGAGGAGGAGGCGAAGGGGCACGATGCCGATGAAGAGGAGAAGAGGATGACAGCAGAAAGGATGAGGCGAAGCATGGGGAGAAAGAGGAGGAAGAGGAGGAAGAGCAGGAGGAGGAGGAGGACAAAGAATATTCGAACCCACATCAATCGAACAACAATCAACATCGAATCAAACTCAGAGCGTGAAAAAAAACATAACCCATCAACATCCATCACGATCCAACAAAACCATCAGAATCCATCAAAACCCATTTGAGCCCAGCAAAGTTCATCGGGCGTTGATGGACTGTGATGGATGCTGATGTTTTATGATGGATGTTGATGGAATATGTTTTTTTGTTCGCGCTCTGGTGTTGATTCGTCTTTGTTTTTTGGTCGATGGGTTTTGATTCGATCGACGATATGTCAGTTACAAGTATCCTCAGATTCTTTGTCCTCCTCCTTCTCCTCCTGTTCCTCCTCCTTCTTCTCCTCCTCCTCCTCCTCTTTCTCCTCCTCCTCCTCCTTCTCATCCTCCTCTTCCTCCTCTTCCTCATCCTCCTCATCATCCTCATCATCATCATCATCATCATCATCCTCATCCTCCTTCTCCGTCTCCTCCTCCTCCTCTTTATCCTCCTCATCCTCCTCTTTATCCTCTTCCTCATCCTCCTCATCATCCTCATCATCATCATCATCATCCTCATCCTCCTTCTCCGTCTCCTCCTCCTCCTCTTTATCCTCCTCATCCTCCTCTTTATCCTCCTCCTCATCTGAAGTAGCATTTCAGGGCCATCCTGAGCATTGCAATATCATATTGGTTTTGATCATGATTGGCTGGAAGACTGGATGGGTAACTATCTGGATGGCATCCATTGATGGATGGATCCTTGCGGCGGTGCGCAATGGATAGATGGATGGACGGGTAGATGGACGAACGGATGGATGGATGACCATGCGTGATTCGATGATTAATCATCAATTTTTCCAATGGATAACGGTTATTGATCTACCCCCCCCCTGATCTAAACCCCCGCGGAGTTTTCAGGACAGTAGCAAGCGCTGCCGTAAATTCAGACAAGGCGGCCTTCATTAAGCAGCCAGGCGGCACATGTAAGTACACTCAGGAATGCATACGCAGTGAATTTGGGCCGTACCATGGCGGATGGGTTCCCAGGTTCACCTTTTCATTTACGGTGTGTATTTGCTCCTCAAACGAAGAAGAAGCTTGAGGCCGGGGAGGCAGCAGCCAGCCGCTCGCTTACGAAGGAACGGTTGTTTTGAACTGCGAGGAAACTGCGAGGCGCAAAATATGGCTCATCATTTTTCAAAACGCAGCGTTTTTCACTCGTCGCTTCTGCAATGACTTCCCCGGAAGGAGCTGTTCTCCCCCGCATGCCCGCAGGGACGCTGCGACGCCCGGCACTGCGCCCGTGTCGGTGCTGAAGGCTGCCCTGGGCCTGAATGTGCCGACCTTCGCCGCGGCCGCGGGGGGCGGGCTGCAGTCGGACTTGGCGGCGCTGCTGGAGACGACAGGCGGGGAGGGAGGCGAGAGCCACCCCCTTGCGTGGTGGTCGGGGGGTGGGGGCTCTCCCCACCACTCGAGGAGCCAACACGAGCATCACCAAAGCTCTCGGAGCGGAGCTCCTCGCAGAGTTTTTGGACCTGCGCTTGCCTCCCCCCCCCATGGCTCCGCCCCTGGCGCGCCCCGCGCGCCAGCGAGGGGGATTCAGCGCAGGTCCACGAAATCCCTGCGGACCTCCAAAAGTTTATGTTTATGCAGTTGTGGTTTCTTTCTCAAGGGAGGAAAAACCACCCGGTCCAGACAATTGGCGTTTACTAAACGGCCTTGGGCGTTTACTAGACAGCTCTGCCCTTTTCGATTACTTCAGTTGGGGCGTTTAGTGAATGGCTTCGCGTGTCGGGGTGGTTGATATGGGGGGGCATTGTCTGCCCTCTACTTCTATCCCCGTCACTAAACAGCGAGGGGGCGGGGCGGCCAGAGGGGCTCTGTGTGGCAAGGACGGGGGGCCCCTGCTGCCCCTGGCGCTTGCGCTCAGGGGCTTGCCTGGCTACCAGAGGGCAGAGGCGTTGACACCACCACTGGACGCGTCTCCAGATGCCACAGTTCAGACCTCTCCTCTGCCATCTTCGTTTTTCGTTCTTCGCTCTTCTGCTCCTCCGCGCTCTTCGTTCTTTCTTCCTCTTCATCGTGCGGCACTGCTTTGAAGGCAAAGGCTCTTCATAAGCACATGGTGGCACAGCCCGGCTGCGGTGATCTGTTGTGCTTGTGGGCCAGGGTTTTGTTTTTGTGCCGGAAAATGATGCCACTGTTCAGACCCCGCTGTCCGATGCTGCAGCGCGGCGCAGCCTCAGTGAAATGACGCCCTCGGTCGTTTCGGCTTCGCGGCCGCAGCTCGGCCCACAGCGAATCTCGCCCGGCGCCAGCGCACAGCATGGTGGGCCCATCGGCTCGGGCATCACATGTGTCGGTGACGCCTTCGGCGAGTCACCGCCGCACCCTGCCGTTTGCCTTTGGGAAGCGCCTGCGTTGTGAAACGTCGAGCGAAGGTGCGGCCACGCTACAGGACTTCATGCTCCCCCAGCCGTTCGAACACCAGGGAGTGTCCCTCTGGGGCCGTCTTGGGGCTGTCTTGGGACTCTTGTGCCGTCTGGGCATTCTTGGGGTCCTCCTCGGGCCCGCTCGGGCCAAGTTCGGGCTCCGCTGGGCTGGCTTAGGGCACTCTTGGGCCGTCTGGCGGCTTCGAAGGCCCGCTTGGAGGCCTCCCTGGACCATCTCGGGGCTGTCTTGGAGCCGTTTACGGCAGTCTTGAGCCCATCCTAGGGCCTTCTCGGGACATCGTGGGGCTCTCTTCGGTACCATGGGGGCTGCCTCCCCGAAAAGCGTGAAGGCGAATCGCATTGACCCATCTAGAGACCGCAATGATTGTCGCATTGCGCGGTCTTGTTAGGAGCCCTCTTAGGGCCTTCTGGGGCGCTTTGGAGGCTTCGTGGGAGCATCCAGCCCTCTTGGAGCCATACAGTGGGCCCTCCGGGGCTGTCTCGGTGTTCTCTTGGATCGTCACGGCGCTCTTGAGCCGCCTTGTGTTTTCGAGGGCAGTCTTGGGGACTTCTCTGGGCCGTCTAGGGGATATCGTGGTCCATACTGGGGCCCTCTTCATCTTTCTTGGAGCCATCTTAGAGGCCTTTTGGGCTGTTTTGGTGGCGATTATGGGGGTCTCCTTGGCAGTCTTGACTTGTCGCAAGCGGGACAAGGTGAGAACGGGGAACGCATTGAACACCGTGGGGATGAACCAATGAATTTTGCTTCTTGAGGCCCTCCGGGGGGCCCTCTTGAAGCGTTCTTGAGACCAATCGGGGCATTCTTAGGCATCTTCTGCCCTCTTGAAACAGTCTGGACTTGTCTTGGCGGCCGCTTTGGCCATCTTGGGCCGACTTGATGACCACCAGGGCCCTCTTGGAGACCCTCCTTGGGCCATTCTGGCTGGAAACGCTTACGGATTTATACGTAGCACCCCGCAGATGCGGATAATAAGAGTGAGGGGGCGATGGGGACGTCTGCAGTCTGCGAGACTCTGGAGAAGCCCGCCGCAGGCGCCAAAGTTTCACACATTATGCAACGAGCCCTCCGCAGGCGCCGACTCTTTCTTCAAACCAGTGTGGGTAGGTCGCGGGTGGCTCGCGGGGTGGGTCGCGGGTGGGTCGCGGCTGGGTAATGATTGGGTCGCGGGTGGGTCGCGAGCGTAGAGGGCAGAAAATCCACCACATAATAATCACCCCGACAAGCGAAGCCGTTTAGTAAACGCACACAAGGAATGAATCGAACAGGGCAGGGTTGTTTAGTCACCGCCCAGGGCCGTTCTAGTAAAAGTCAATTGTCGGGTCTGGGTGTTTTTCCTCCCTTGAGGGTGGGTCGCTGGTGGGTCGCGGGGTAGGTCGCGGGTGGGTCGCGGATGGGTCGCGGGGTGGGTCGCGGGTGGGTCGCGGGTGTGTCGCGGGGTAGGTCGCGGGTGTGTCGCGGGGTGATCGCGGGTGGGTCGCGGGTTGGGTCGCAGGGTGGGTCGCGGGTCGGGTCACGGGTGGGTCGCGGGGTGGGTCGTGAGGTGGGTCGCGGGGTGGGTCGCGGGTGGGTCGCGAGGTGGGTCGCGGGTTGGTCGCGGGTGGGACGACGACAACAAACAACAACAACAACAACAACAACAACAACAACAACAACAACAATCACTTTACCCGAACGCTCAGTGTTCTCACCAGTGCCAGGGTTTTCATGCGACGCCAGCCAATACCCCCACTTTGTGGGGGGGCAGTGCAAGCTCTACCAAATATCCACACGACTCTTCGCCACCACCCACACCCAGCTTCCCGCCCTATGACGTTCGGACACTTCACTTCGTGGCCTGCGGACGACCGTGGCTACTACACTGGCGTGGAGTACACACCCACAGAAGTTGTTAAGCCTACGTTCGTACACCCACAGACGTTGTTAAGCCTTGTTAACCCACAGAAGTTGTTAAGCCTTCCACAGAACATCTGTTGCATATGATGCATATGGTACATGATACACATGATACACATGATACGTACTCGCAAGGGAAGACGTGCAGGTGTTTTTCGAGGACCCAATGGTTTTTGGAGATTTCGGCGTGCGCGCGCAAAAAACGAATGTGTCCCGCATGGTATTATTTGACAGGGATGATGGCCCTGGCAGGTGCGCAACCGTTGTCGCAGAAGTTCGAAAAAGTTGCTCGCAAAAGCCCGTTTGACAGAAATGTTTAAAAAGTGTTGGTTTTCCTACGAATCCGCAAGAGCGCGCGGGATGAGATTTTGACATTTTTTTGTTGAAAAACCATTGGTTTTTTGATGTTTTTATGTTAAAATCGCTCCGAACACTAAGCTTTTGGAAGGATTTCGTCTTGCGCGCGCGAGTGTCCACTTTACCTTATTTTTTGCAAGGGATTCTTGAAATTTGATTATATTAGAACAAGAAATGTCATTTTATAGTGTTTTTTGCAAGGGAAAGCGGGGGGGAACAAAACAACCGGATCTTGATCACATCGAATTACCTGAGGCTTCCTCACGAAAATGATGAAAATGTAGCTGCGGCCTAGGCGGCGCAGGGGGGCGTGCACCAGGGGCCCCAACAATAATTATTCTTTAGAATTAATAATGTTCAACAATCACTTTACCCGAACGCTCAGTGTTCTCACCAGTGCCAGGGTTTTCATGCGACGCCAGCCAATACCCCCACTTTGTGGGGGGGCAGTGCAAGCTCTACCAAATATCCACACGACTCTTCGCCACCACCCACACCCAGCTTCCCGCCCTATGACGTTCGGACACTTCACTTCGTGGCCTGCGGACGACCGTGGCTACTACACTGGCGTGGAGTACACACCCACAGAAGTTGTTAAGCCTACGTTGGTACACCCACAGAAGTTGTTAAGCCTTGTTAACCCACAGAAGTTGTTAAGCCTTCCACAGAACATCTGTTGCATATGATGCATATGGTACATGATACACATGATACACATGATTAAGAAGCCCAATGGTTTTTGGAGATTTCGGCGTGCGCGCGCGAAGAAAAAACGAATGTGTCCCGCATGGTATTATTTGACAGGGATGATGGCCCTGGCAGGTGCGCAACCGTTGTCGCAGAAGTTCGAAAAAGTTGCTCGCAAAAGCCCGTTTGACAGAAATGTTTAAAAAGTGTTGGTTTCCTACGAATCCGCAAGAGCGCGCGGGATGAGATTTTGACATTTTTTTGTTGAAAAACCATTGGTTTTTTGATGTTTTTATGTTTAAATCGCTGCGAACACTAAGCTTTTGGAAGGATTTCGTCTTGCGCGCGCGAATGTCCACTTTACCTTATTTTTTGCAAGGGATTCTTGAACTTTGATTATATTAGAACAAGAAATGTCATGTTATAGTGTTTTTTGCAAGGGAAAACTGATTACAACAAAACAACCGGATCTGAACCCCATCCACTTTTCTGAAGCTTTCGCGAAAAAATGATGAAAATGTAGCTGCGGCCTAGGCGCGGCGGGGGGGCCGTGCACCAGGGGTCCCAACAATAATTATTCTTTAGAATTAATAATGTTCAACAACAACAACAACCACAACAACAACCACAACAACAACAACACCACCAACAACAACAACAACAGCAGCAGCAGCAGCAACAACAGCAGCAGCAGCAGCAACAACAACAACAACCTCAGCAGCAGCAGCAACAACAACAGCAACAGCAACAACAACACCATTTACAACTACAACTACAACTACAACTACAACAGCAACAACAACAACCACAACATCAGCAGCAACAACAACAACACCACCAACAACAAGAACAACATCAACAACGACAACGACAGCAACAACGACAACAACAATGACAACAACAACAACGCAACGAGCGGAATTTTCACCACGAATTCCTTATCCAGCCACACACCCAAGGACAATGAATGACCGCTCAGCCCCCTCATTCTGATTTTGCACTTTCTTCTGTGTGC